GGGGTGTTATTATCATTGCATGTACATGACACGTGTCTGCATTCGGGTTCGTGGCTCCTATCTGGTTTCACATGAAGTCGGTAGACCCATCCTTTTCTACATACAACATTAATATCCGACATCGACATCCTGCACCCTTGGATGCTGACCCAAAACTTGCCTGGGAGAAAACATGTCTCAGAGTCTTAGAGGCGCATCGGGATGGTTCTCCAGTCACTAAGAGCCATGAGCCACAAATATGCAACATGCAACTGCTTCAGAGGTCTGACTTGGGCCCTTAAGATTCAGATACTCACCCTAAACCCTCACACGTGTCATATACGGTGCCTAAAACCATGTTGTCCTCAACTCCGCCAAGGGCCATTGACATCAGAGAACTGCACGGGATGCCCCAAAGCAGCGACGCAGAAACTTAAACCAGGAAACCCCAGCCCTGGATCTGGAAAGGTGCCCATGTGAGCAAACCCCCTAAACCCCCCAAACCCGCCTCAACCCTTAACAACGCAAAGGGGGCAGTAGCGCTCAACACTACGCTGCGGAACTTCTATGCAACGGGGGAGTACCCGGGCAGGCAGGTGAGGGTTAGGATCGGTGGGTGTTTTCGGGTTTAGGGTTCAGGGTCTAGGCATTTGAGTCCAGGATTTAGGGTGTAATGGTAGCATGTTCAGTGTCGGGCTTAGGTGTTTATGATGTTAAGTGTTTTTGTGTGCCGGCTTTCCTTTTTGATTTCGTGATTGAAAGGGCACGGTTCATAGTTTCTCTCCGACCACTGCTGCCTCAATTACTGGGTACTAGCTAGTGTCTAGGCTGGGTTACGCTCTCACCCTTGAGGGGGTTCCCAAGATTGGGGGTTCCCCATAATAAGAACTGTACTATCTCGGGGTCTGCACTGGAGTCCCCCCTATTGAAGGAAATTTCCATGTGAGGAATATGCAGGGATCCTGATGTGTTTCCATTATTTCCTGCAGTCACGCTTAGTGAGAGAGGGCCTAGGGTGGCAATGTACCGAAAGAGATACGTATGGATGCGGGAGGCACGAAAGGAGACGGGGAAATCCCCCAAAAAATGATTTCAACAATTTGAGAAGCATGTCAGGTGCGCCAATACATAGATCGCTCCAACAAATACGGGTGCACCGAATATTCGATGCCTGCCAGCCGGAATCAAAAAGATTCCCAAATCCCGCCATGGCACATCATCTTGTTGAGACAAGCTTACAACATATGAAAGATCCCCACATCTAATGATAGTAGTATAGATAGACATAGTAATAAGAGTAGTAAGAAGACAAATCATAGTATTCATACTAATAGAAGCAAGAAAAACCCACAATACTGTTATCATCCCTGCAGCAAAATCTCGTTAACAGCTTATGTGATACCGAAAGAACCCCAGTCCTTCCATCCACTGCCCTTGTGCAGCTGTGTGCCAGGGAAGTCTACTCCACGGAGGGCTTCCTACAGCGAGTAGCGCACATCGTCAACAGCACTAGGACGGCTAGACCACGCCTGCGCATTTAGCATTTAGGGTGCTAGGGTTTTAAGGTTTAGGGCGTCAGGGTTTTAGTGTTTTAGGTTATAGATTTGCAGGGTTTGAGGTGTAATTCCGAATCCTTGCCTCTAACTCTGACTCTAACAGTCAAATTCCCCGTTGCCGAATGTAAAGAAATAGTTCCCATATCTAGGGGGAGTTATTGATTAGGGGGAGGTGAGTATCATGGAGGGCGCTGGGTATAAGCGGCTGGTCAGGATTTGAGGATTTGTCTTCAGTTAAAGGCTAAGGCTTGGGTTTTCCATGGTCAGAGAAAATGTAGACGCATGAAAAATGTCAACATTCATCACCTTATCATCCTCGTATAGCCATGAATGACTTTCGTTTTAAGTTCCTAGGCCCCTGATTACACCATGTTGTTCGTTCAGGGCATTAGTTTGGGAATGTCTGGCAGGTCAGCATTTGGGGGGTGTTCCAAAATGATGGGTCCTGTTCGGTGGTTCCAGTAATGAGGACTAGAGTGTGTTGGGTCTGTGAGGGGTACACGTATTTCTGGAAACTCCCATTTGGGAGTCCAGTAGCAGAGCGACTGGGTCGCAGGACATGACAGGTCCCTTTCGAGTTTTGTCCAGGTTGTCCGTATTTCTGAGGAGAGCAATAGAGTCTGAACAGTTGGCGGTAATCTCCTGCATGTTGGATTGATAGTCTTGGCACATTTCGAAAGATGCTATCAGGTTCAATTATCCCTATATAACCCTATACATCATAGAAGTTTCCATTTTAATTTTCCATTACCCCCCCCCCAATATAATTGACTTTGTCACTGTGAGCAACCAGGACCACAGCTGGAGCAGTGCCACCTTTCTATTTTTACGTGCGTCTCGTTACCCGCTGGGGATAGGAAGGCTGTCAAAGGGTTGAGGTTGGATATTTTGAGAGAGATTCCGGGGAACCCACATGTCAATGGTGCTTAATGGGGAGTCTAGCTGTGAACATACGGACATGCTAGGGGCCCAGAGGGATTGTTATAGGGGTCGACTCCCCCATTCTCCCTTAGCCAGCCCAAGAGCACTCTGAAATCTTAATGAAGCAGCCTAAGTTGTATAGTCCCCCTTAAGTAGATAGAATATGGCTTTGGGCGTATGAAAAAAAATCCCCATATACGCCATATTCTATCTACTTATGGGGGACTATGCCCTAAACCCTGAACCTTAGATAGTAGTTTCCGTTTTCTTTCCCACTATCCCAATATAACCCCAATATTCTATCTTCTTAGGGGGGACTATAGTGTCTTCTGATGAGGAGCCTTGGGCCAGAAGACTGGGAGTGGGAACGACAAGACCATCCACAGCTGCATGGCCAAAAGATAGGCTAAACTCCTTAAAGGGGGGATATATCGGGGATTTAGGAGAGTATTATAGGGGCTATTAAGGGGGATACTAGGAGTTTGGATCAAAGCTCAGATAGGTTGAAGGCTCTAACGACTTCCAAGCAGATGTTTTTACGGAGGTATATAGGGTTAAGGAATTGGGGCTGAAAAAGCGCTTCGTGTCCTTACAAGAAGGGTTGCAAGATATGCGGGTCTATGCTGGTTCCCATATAGAGATTTAGTGAGATTTGGAGGTCTCAACGTTTGCGCTTTGTGGCTCTAGGGGGTGCAGTTTGGGGTTTGGGGGTCCAGGAGTTAGTGTTGAAGGGATTTGCAGAGTGTTTGGTTTGGAGTGCAGCTGTGAGCACTTGGGGCCCAGGGCCATTTCCTGTTATCTGACTTGGTGTTTGGCTTTGCCTGGTTCATTGCAAATCCTCAGCATATGAGTCACACCTACCAGCGCTGCAGAAGGAAGTAGGCTATGACTGTGCAGATGGCCCTTGGAATGCTGCCACTTGCGGTTCGCCCACGTATAGAGAGGACAACTTGATTCATGAGCGCTTCATTTTCTGCAGGAACAACCATAAGAAACCTGGCAAACATGTTTCCCAGAAAACGACCGACGCTAGAAAACAACCGGCTACAGTAGTGGAGACCGCATGAAAATTGCATGAGCCCTAGATGGCTTCCCATAGTGTGCATGTCACTGTGTCACGGGCAGAGAACAAATACTGGCTTCGGAGGATGCACGCTCTTGGACTTATATGTTGGGTTCCGAGATGCTACATGGGACTGTTCCAAAAGTAAGTGTGGGTCATGCCTTAGGACCCAAAGCTTGTAATTCTTCTTTGCAGAACCAGATGGACATCGCTGAGCTCCGTACGGCCATTTTGAGACACCTCATTTTTTACTCGTCGAGGCTGCTTCCCTCCAGGGCATTCCCGGCAAAAGCGGACGGCTAGGGCACCAGCTGGTCGCAGAGGCCCAATGGGTTGTCAAAGATCCTTTTGGGACCCAAGTTGTATATTTTGTATCTGTCTGGGTTTCTCCTTGTTCACAGTACCTCAAAGAGGGTGACCTGGTTCAGGACCCCAAAAACTCGTTCTCAACCAAACCCCATGGCCCTAGGAGAACAGCTTCCCGCACTCGAAGCACACCTCCGACAACGCAAACTTGGATGGGCGGAGCTGAGCCAGGGCATTGCGAAGAACATCGTAAATGAAATCGCGCAAGATCCTGGGTTGAACGGCTCCTGCTGAGCACTCATGCAGATGATCTCCTTCAGATCGGAAACTCCCGGTACTTGGGCTGCAGTTCTTTTCCATCTTTCTGCAGGAGTCTGTCGATGGGGCCTTGCTGGCAATCCGCGCGACGAGCGTTTGGGTGCTGAGCTGAAAGCCGCGACATCACTGGGACCAGCAGAAGGTTGCATCGAACAAGGAGTGTCCCTCTGAGCTGCATGGCACGCAAACTACTGCAAGCCCACTGCAGAGTTCTGGCCAAGCAAGGGCTTGCATGACAGTATCCTTGTGTAAATAGCATGGACCACATTCTGTGGGCTGCTACTGGATTTCCTCACTAGCGCTTTCAATACGAAAGTACTGGTGGCAGACTGAGCGAGAAGATCGCTGAAAACGAATTGACAGTGGTCCATCTAGAAGCAAGATGAGAATGCGGAAGCAACGCTAGCGCTTGATCCGTGAGTCCTTTGATCGTGTGCTCCTCATTGATTGTCGAGTACCCAGGGGATTGAGTGATGACCATACTAGAAGACTAGCGCATTTATTCCAGAGCTACATGAAAGAATGGGGTCTTTGGGACCATGTCGACCAGAATTTGCAAATCAGCAACTAGGGGTTCATGCTGTAGGTAAGGCTCTCTGAGCCTCTAAGCCGAGGTTGATGTTTTGTTGCTAGATTATGCATGAATGGGGAATCCACTGTTGATCTTCACATTTCCCCATACTTCCCCTGAGTGCAGGGACTTGGACGCAGTCCTGCAAAAATTGACCCTGACTTTCAGTCCCGAGATGCAATTCGCAAAGATCAGCCACTGTGTTCAGGGAGGACTTGTCTACCGACACCTCTCCAATGCTACCTAATAGAGTATGCGGCTTGTAAGAAAAGAAAGGTTTCTTGTAAAGGTTTCCTTCCAGTTACAGGGGCTTTGATGTGCGAAGTTCGTACTCTGTAATTATCCGTAAAAGCATCTCGGCAGACAGCTGCGTACAGCAAGCACGCAGCTGTCACAGGGTCGGATTGGGGATCAGAGTTCGCACATACCGTGGGGAGGATGGGGAACTGTCAGTGGCCAAGTACGTCCTTGAAGCCAAACTGTCTTTGCGGTGAATCAGCCATCAGATTTGAGGCATAGAGACTGGAGTAGCATGATGTGGATGAAGCTTGCAAGCTGCCTGTTTGTGAATATCAGCTTAATAGCTTCTATACCACAATCCTTGGCAGCGAGTTGGAGGATCCCTTTGAACTTTTTGTAAGGTACCATTCTTTGGAGAAGGCCCTAGCTGCCTCTTCAGAAAGCGGAGCGGCTGCCATGGAGACTCTCTCCGCGCTGGCTGTCGGCTTAGGCTGCTTCGCCGGGCTTCAGCATCTTAGGCCTGGGGGGCAGGAGGAGAGGGTGCTTGAGGATTCAGGCCCTATATCCTATAGACCACACACCGACCCTCAACCGGCCGCCAAAGCAGAGCTGTAGGGCTTTAGGGTTTACGAATATTGCAGGGACGCAGCGAGGGGCAAGGCTAGGGATGCCTGTGTTGTGGCTTCTGTGGCGCGTGGCGTTTTTAGGTCCCTCCAGCCCACAACACATTTTTGTTTCCGCAATGCCTTAGAAGAAATATTCTGAGGCATAGACTTTAATCAGGGTTCATATTCGCACATGCAGCTTTGTTGCTCTCATTCCTCGCCCCAGAACATAAGCTTGAAACAGCCTCCCGGTAGGTTGTTCCCAACAGTCCAAAACTCGGCAATCCCGTATAGCAGGATGCTTTAAGGATTTTTCACGCAAATACAACCATTAGTTGTGTAGTCCATCTGTCTCTGGCTCTAGTTCTTTGACCCAAGTTTCCGCTGAGATCCTTCAACAAAAAACCCTCGAAGCCCAGCCCCACCACGAGACCTAAACCATAAAGCCTCAGCCAGATGATTCGACCCTAAACCTTGACTTGTATACTACCCCAGTACAGAGATATATGGGGGCTACAGTATATCATGGAAAAGAAAGTGGAAGCTACTGGCATAATTAGACCCTAAACCCTAGAACCCCCATATTGAGCCCTTAAGCTGTAAACCCTCGATCCTTCAATTCAAAAAGCTTCCAGGAGGCCGCAAGTTATCGAAGAGATACCGCGGCTAGACGGCGACATGGGATTCCGAATGGAGTGGTATCTCTATTGGGCATACTATAGTCTTCAATATGGAGTAGGCTTATGTCCGAAGACTAGTATCTCAACCACGCAAACTCCAAACAAAACGCTACTAAGTAGTTGGGGCTCCTACAGGGCATTTACGACTAGAGCTGTAGGGTAAAGAGCAAAGGCCTTCGGATTTGATACATAGGCTTTCGGACTTGAGGTTCAAGCTATAGGCTCAAGGGCTTTAGGATCCTAAAGCCTAAACCCCTAAACCCTAAAAACCCAAAGCCTCCAAGTTCAAGGCAGGTTCGGATTGCACAGCTCAGGAGTTCTCCCGTTATTCTTCCTCCATTAAGCTGTTGGGGTTAAGATGGGGAGGGCTGTGGGCTGCTTAGGGTCATTGATCCACAAAACGCCCACCATTCTTGAATTTTGCTGCCTGGAAAATGCGATGAGCTGTATTTCTGCATACATTCCCATCATTGAAAGATTCTGCAGCTCTCGATTCTGAATACTGTCGGCCCTGCACTCCAAGCCTTAGGCCATAAATCCCCAAAGACTAAGCCTCGAACCTTATTAAGGTTTAGGGTTTGGGGTTTATAGGGTTACCTGAACCCACCTTAACACTGTAAATTGTTGTTACCTCAGCCATCAAAATGAAGATCCGAGGGAGAAGATGAAGCGACTGGTCCTGCGAGAGGTCGGCTCCCAAGTAGTCGGCACTTGTTTTCATCCGTGCCCTTGCCCAAGTACTGAACACCCTGCTCACCTCCACATAGAGGATTTTCTTAGCAGACGCCCAATACGTTTAGAAGCCCACATATCTGGCAAGTAAGACACACATACTTTGAATACTGCCCCCACTAATTATTAGCTGGATAATCGTTCTCATATTACAAGTATATATAGCTCTTGATATGACCCCTATTATACTCTGCTCATGGGTGGGGCAGGACCCAATGCATACCGGGCCCCCTGCTACAGCATGTTTTACTCGTCAAGGTGTACGCCAACTTGCTTACAATGGGGGATTCCAACACGTGGGGCGGGGGGAAATCTCAAGAATGGATTAGAGTCCTTTGGGATAGATGATTCTGGCCCGTTCACATTGGACGGAAACAGAGTCCACTAATGGCATGGTGACAGCCGGTTTTTGCAGGGGCGCGTTCAAGTCCTGGTTAGAACTATTGTTGTCTGGAGCTTCTTTCCCAGGATGCAGGTTTGTTTAGGGTCTGGGGCCTGGAGTCTATGGGCTTCCCTCAAGGACAAGCTGAGGCTTCAGAGCTATAGGGGTGATGGAAGAATGGAAGCCCTCACCCCTGAGCCCAAATCCCATAACTCTGAATTGCAGCACGTTTGAGCCGTTGTTGAAGATGTACCATGTTCGGTTTGTATGGTTCTAACACCCAATAGGGAACATAGGATCATAATCGATCATATCCTAACTGCAGAACCCATGAGATGGTAAAGATGATCAAAACATGTCAAGACATCGACGTACCAATAGGGGAATGTAATCCCTATAGAATCCCTATATGATGTATTTCCTTAATCCCTACTAACCCTAAACCCTAAACCCTCAACCTATATCAACATTAGAAAGCTGACCTCCAGCCCGGGGTTCCCATAGGCCAACAAAGACATCTCTCTGGCAAAGATCGAGGTCGAAGCTGAGCCGAAATAGAATCCTACTGAATGGTTCGTAGGGATGAAGAGAATATACGGATTACGCAGGGATTACATAGTCTTATAAGGGTTACATAGGCTTCTACAGGGATCACGTAGGGGTCTTATAGGGATTACATAGGGGTTTGATACAGACTACAATCCTCTATCTTGCTATGCCTTGTGTGTCTGTTCCTATAGGTTTTGGGCCCCACTATTCTACCTGCTGTTGGGATCCAGGGGTTCCGGGTTTAGGATTTGGGGGTTAGGTTTTGAGGTGTTGGGTTCAGGGTGTGGGGTCTAGGGCTTCGAGTCATGGTGCATCATCTAATTTATTTTGTTGTTCTACGCTTTCCTCTTGTGGCTATACATTAGCCAGCCAAAAAAAACTACCTGAAAGCCTTTGGGCTCCTTCAGGCCTGGCGATGCCAAGATGCGAAATCCGGAATTATGATGAATAACTACCATTTGAGAGACGACTCGTAGTAGCAGCAGAAGCAATACAATGCTTATTGTTTAGGAGGACTCCCCACCATGTAATAGTGGTAAAGTAGGAATATAAGAGGACCCTGATTAACACCCCTTTATAGTCCCTACCCATCATCACTAAGAAATGTACATCAATTTTTATCAGTGTACTTGTTTGTGGTAGAGCAGCAGCAAGAGGAGGAGTAGCAGTACCCCAGCAGCAGCAGCAGCAGCAGCAGCAGCAGCAGTGTTGTGGTAGTCCCTCTAGTTCCTCACTAGCAGCCATAGCAGCAGAGGCGTTGGCGATGGCAGCAGCAGAAGCATCAACAATAGGTTGGGTGGACCCCCCACCCAGTAGCAGCGACTATGAGGGATAATAAGCTGCATATTAGGGTCCTCTTATATTCCTACTTTACCACTATTACATGGTGGGGAGTCCTCCTAAACAATAAGCATTGTATT